AGAGAGAACGAGAGCCACTCCGCAGCGTCGATTGTGAAACCCCAACCACCGCCAATGCTCAAAATCTGGCACCGCCTTTTCCAATCTCCTTCACCGAGAACTCCAGAGCTCACCGGAGAAATTGATGAGATCGTCGTAGACCTCCGACCCGCCGCTACCCCTTATCGAATTTGCGTCAAAATCGATACTTTTTCAATTTTTGCTTTCTTGCATGATAGAATGTGAGATTCGAAATTGTAGGGTTTCTATGCTGTTTGAAGTGGGTTGAATTAGTCGTCGGAGGTGGATTTATTGGTGATGAGTTCAGTGGGCATTCTTATCGTCAGAGGTGGATTTTGGCATTTGGATTTTTCTCGTCATTGGACAAGCTAATCTAGGCAAGGTAAGGAAGGTTCTTGATATGGTGTTCGCTTTGTTGGAGATGAGAGACAATTAAAAGAGCTAATTTTGTCAGTCGATTTTGTGCTTGCAATTGCAGAATTGGGTCCAGCCACCGCCGACGCCGAGGTCGTCGGGACTCCCGTCGAGAAGGAAGGATTAAAGAAAAATAGAAATAGAAAATTATTGAAATAATACTTCATTTTTTGAAATTATTTGGAGTTTATTATATTTTTTTCAAAATAAGAGGTGGCATCTACGTGGCATAACGAGTCTAGTTGGAGCTGATGTGTCGTCTAGGTGGCATCCACATCAGATTAACATCCATTTAACTGACGGCATTTCTAACGTCGTTAAACTTTGTAACAGAAATTGCTAAAGTTGTCAACCTAGTTTCAAAAGCATGGCTATTCTAGTGTATTTTTCAAAAAGTGGCTATTATTGTCAAAACCGCGAAAGTTATGGCTATACAAATGTATTAAACCTAAATTCTATAAGCTCAAGCCTAGTAATTTTTAGTTACTCAGAACACAGTGAAATGACTCCCTATTTGTGGATATACATGTCTCGTGTCTCACCTTCGGATCGGTCCAACACTTTGGTGAAACACCACATAATCTCCATCCTATGTGTCTCGCATATCGACATGTTACTTGTCTCCACATACCAAGGCTTATGCATGTGTGTCAACACATACCAATACCATGCTTCATAAAAAAAGTTTTGTGATTTAATTCACGGTTAGAGGTTTGTTATTCAATCCGAACACACCACATTCGATATAACAAAATCAATAACCAGCCTTTATTGATTAACCGTGCACACCCTAATGAAAAACCAAACTGCACACATTGAGAGTCTAGCTACATATGTAACTCTTTGTACCCAAGATTTCAACTGACTACAAGATCTTAGAATCGTTCCATAACTTTCGTACGACGTGCTCTTGGTTCAATGCATATACAATCACCGTTGAATCGAAACATATCTAATCACATTACATTTGACCCAAATGTCGATTCAATTTTTCCTGTGTTCATTGCTCTCTCCCAAAGTCAATGCAGCATATTGCTTATTTTGGTTTCATGTCCTTCCTATTCCACATACAAATTCTGCCTTGATCTGACAATTCAGATGGCAAGGACAAAATGTGATGGTGCGCTAGGGAAGAAGTTTGAGTGGGAGAGGGTAAGAGCATTATATCGAACCAAAGAAGCAAAGGTGGGTTTTAGAAAAAAAGAGCCATATATCTTTGCCCGCTTTCTGCGCAATGGTGATGGAGTTTCAGGTAACAAAGTTAAGATTTTGTCAATACTGAGCTCAAGGGGAAAAGTAGGTTTCATGATAGGTCAAATCTGTTGGGAGGGCATTTCTGTTTCACCATTGCATATGAGGTTAGAATGAATGCTTTGGTTGTTGTGGTGTAAAATTTTCAACTTTAAGTGGCTACAAGATAATGAAGGGATTGCGTATCTCTGGCCTTTGCTTTTGACAATGTGCCATTACCAAACCAGGGATCAGTGTAGGTGAGTGCTGTTTGGCCTGAATTTGCTATTTGGAGTTGTCCTTTGTGGCCCAATAGTTCACTCGCATAATTTTAGGTTTGGGAAATGCAATACACTAATAGTTGACATTGTTCTTCATTTGAAGAATTGACTATGATGTATTCGAGATATAACAACGTAATTGACTCGCTCTGAATATCACAATTAATTCACGCCTAAGGTAATACAGGGCAAGTATGTTTAAATATCGACTCGGGCGGTCCGTGCATCCCTACTTCAGTCATTTGAATCATTATCTAGCGAATCGGTTTTGGTTGAAAAGTTTGCTAATTAAAGTAAAGCAAGGCAAAAATAAATGGTTTTGAAAGCTCTTTGTGAGAAGGATCACTCGGGTGTCGCTTCCCCCTAACTAGGGGTGGGCATTGGGTGGGTCGGGTGGATTTTGACCATAAAATGCACCCACCCGCGCTTAAACGGATTGATAATTTTTAACCCACCACCCACCCACATTTAGTCTCGGGTTGGGTCGGGCGGATGGTGGATGATGCGGGTGGGTTTGTGGGTTCACCCACATTACAATATATATAATATAAAGGAGTCAACTTGACATGATAATAGGTGAAGAGAATCACCGAGGGAAACAAGAAGTTGAAATAGGGCGAAAAATGTCGAATTAGTTCTTAAATTGGATAGAAATTCTATTATGAAAGAGTTTTCTACAGATTGAGACGATTATTAGGTGCAAGGAACTAAGGAAAATAATTCCACAAAGGAAAGAGCGGTGATCTAGGCACAAGAATTAGAGGAAAAAGTAAAGGGAAGAAGAGGGAATCTCTATTTGGAAGGTTGGCTTTGAGGTTCAAACTCCAGGAGCAGTCCGAGTTTATATCTAACGTCTCCACTCTCCTCTCTCTAGCGCCAACGACTTTGATCTTTTTGTTGTCGGGTTGAGCGGGTCACCCGCACACTCACCCACAATCCACCCACCACCCGGCGGATGGCTCCCAGCACAACCCGTCATCCACCCACAGACCCACCCACTTAACGAAATTCGGGTCAAATGCGGGTGGGTCGGTCCAAACCCGCGGATGATCCGCCCGTATGCCCAGCCCTACCCCTAACTACTACCATGGTATGTGAATCGAAGAGATTGCTATGGGCAAGGTGACCACGAACCGCTAGGGGACGCAAATATGACCGTAGACCACACTCTCGATTGCCAAACCGAGGGATACATTGTAGGCTATTCAAGTGGCCCTCTTGGTTAAGGCAATCGATGGTTGACTTACTCCCTCACTCAACCCAATGGTTGGTCGGCTTAATCGTGCTTAACCAAATTGCTTAATTGAACATAGAGGTTTACCCTTAAGAAGCCCTATGAATCCCAACTTAATTGAGCCTCCCTTGAAAGGGGGGGGGGGTCCCTCTAATCTAGGTTAGAATGACCAATTAGATTGATAAGCACAAACATGCACAATCAACATGAAAAATACCTCAATCCTTGAATTAAATAACACCCATAAACAATCATTCAATTCACATAACAACTACATGGCAAATAGTTAGGGTTTCACAACACCCAAGTGAAAAAGGAAACTACTACATGCTAGAAAGGGGAAGAACACAAGAGGAAGAGGTAGAAACTAGGGGTGAACAAACACATCCGCAAATCGACCCACCCATCCAACCCGAACCAACCCACCCATATATATATGCTATAACGAAATTTTTGGATTGGGTGAGGGTTTTCTTTTGTACAACCCGCCTCTTTTGGGTTGGGTTTGGATTTTGTATTCACAACCCGTAGAACCCAACTCAACCCGTGTTCTAATTATTGGTATGAGTTCGTATCCAAAAAACATTTATGTCATATATAGCCACTTATGAGAAAATTAAGATATTTCACTATGTTTTTCTCTTATGCATGGTCTCCCTAATCTAATGCATTATTCGGCTTACAGTTTAGACATAAATTTAATATAGCCATGATTCACGTAATCCTTTTTCTGGTGTACAATTTTAATAGAATAACATATTATGGATGCGTCATTTATAAACTTTTTTGCCTATTTCAACAAATGTTGTAAAAAACTAAACATAAATTGAAGTAAATAAAATTTTATTAAAATTCAAACAACATTTGTGAATTTTGATACCTTTCACCTTGGTTTATTCGTTTGAATTTTTAATTAGTTATAAAATATTTTTATGGTGTAGAATAATTATATATTTTGTGTTGGGTTGGGGTTTTAGTTAAAAATATCGCCAACCCGACCCAACCCAATTAGAAACAAACCGTAGGGTTAATTTTTTTTCGGGTGGATTTGGGTTTAATATTTTGTAAACCGTAGTGCATGGGTCTAGTGATTAAAATGACCAAACCCGGACCACCCGACCCATGTACACCCCTAGTAGAAACCATCATGGTGATGCCTCCAATCTCCTTTGAGCTTGTGTTGATCTTCTCTTGGGGAGAATCTTCCCAATTCACCAATTGGAACAAACCCTAGCTTTCTTTCTTTTTGGTTCGTTCTTTCTCTCTCTAAAATCTGAAGAAGAAGATACTTTCTCACTCTTGGGCTCTCCTCTCTCTGCCTTTCAACTCTCCTTTTAAACAGGGATCGGGCTTAGTTCACAGCCTCAGTTCACGGTCGTGAACTCTTGAACGCGTCCGTGAACTCAAGGTTTGCGTCGAAACGCACCGCTTCGCTTGCACAAGTTCATGGGCAACAGCTCCAGTTCACGGTCTTAGTGACCGTTACCAATGCTGTCAAAATCGCGCTTTAAAGCGTAAAAACGTACGTTTTTACCATTTTAACCCACAAATACGCTTTAGTTTCTACTTGAATTCGCATTGTATATAAAATCGCACAAAAACGGTCGTAAAATCGGTAAAAGCGGAAAAAAACGTTAAAAACGCGTTTAATGTCCGTTTTTATACGATTTTGAGTGCAGTCCGGAAATGGCCAAAATGAGCCAAAACGGCGCCGTTTTAAGGTGTTTCAAATAAAAAAAATAAAAAAATCAGACCAGAATGGGTGAGGTGCTGCTGTCGACTCGAGGTCGAGGGTTTCATTTTACCCTAATTCTTCTTCTCTACTCTGCAGCAGCACAACCATTTCAAGACAGAGCGGCCGGCGGCGCCTCCTTCCTTCTCCCACAACGCAGCTGCGCCGGCGGCGCCTTCTTCCTTCTCCCACAACCGAGCGGCGCCGTCGTCCTCCAGCATCAACCTTCGCCGAGTCGCCGACCTCCACCGCTAGCTGCATCAAGAACCGCCGTCGCCGTCCTCAGCAACTCTTTCCCGCCGCCGTCCTCCAGCCTCATCGTGCTCTGCTCCTCTTTCTTCCGGCCATTTGCCCACAGCCCACCGGATAAAGAACCTGGTGTCTTCCTCCTATCGGTAAGTCTTGCTCTCCTGAAATTTTGGCTTCCTTCAGTGTATTCATACATCGGTGATTGGTCCACCAAATTCGTCATCGTCAATGGCGAAAGGGAGGACCGGGAATGCCCTGTTTTTTTTCTTTTCCTGTTGGCCGCTTAAAGCATCCAATGAATCAAATTTGCCCTATGATAGACTCTACTGCTTCGTTCCCATTTCTCTTTTGCAGCTTATGTGTCAAATTATACCTAACCTAGCTTTGTCCCTCTCGTCGCTGTTGGTAGACATTGAATTACAATACTTCTTAAGAGTTTGTGATTTCAGGGGTTTTGCATATAAGTTGTACGAGCTAGTAGTAGTAGATTTACTGTGGATCCCCTTACCAAACCTCAAATATATAAACATAGAAGTATAAAGTTTATGCTTTTGTTCTGGAGGAGAATTGGAGCTTCATTGGTTTGATTATATTGGCAGGGAAATTGTAAGTCTGTCTTTCTTTCATTCTTTTTGCAGTTTGCTGTTTATTTGTGGCTTGTGTGTGAACTGTATTATTTTGTTGTAATGAAGTTTAAATATGTTCTTGGAATTGGTATTAGCAAAACTGAATTGCTTGGATTTGAATGTCTGTTTTCTTTTTGCAGAATTGTATAATGTCGAGCGGTGGTGCCGGTACTAGTGCAAGTAATTCTGTGGCAAATAGTAAAGCAAAGAGGAAAAATGCACCGGGAAATCGTAATGATCCCGGTTGGCAGCATTGTATATGTCATGTGCAACAACAAGTTGGTGGGAAGTAATGTCAAGAAAGCAAGAAGGCTTGAAATTGATTTTGAGGATATAGACTCCGAGAATGAATGGATTTGTGGCAGTGACACTGAAGAAGAATCACAAGCTGAAGCTTTAGGAGTTGATGGTGGTGAGGAAGGTCATCATACTGTTGAAATTGGTCCTACTATTTCTATTGGTGAGGATGGAGGTGATGATGCTATTCATGTTGATGGTGGCGATGCTATTCGTGTTGATGGTGACTGTGGATTTGATAATCCACTTGATGATGGCGATGACGATGATGATAATGATGAATTGGATGCCAATGTTGAAGGCGATGATTTAATGTAGTTTTCTTTCTATCATTTCGAACTTTTGTGTGCTTTCATTTCAATTTCAAGAATTTGGATTATTAAACTTGTGTCATTATGTAAACTTAAACCAGCTTGTTGGATTTTTAAGATGATATCTGTGTGACTATGTCGTTTATGAGTTGCTTATGATGTATGTTTATCAAGTATCAACTTATGTTTAAGATGATATCAATCATGATTTATTGCAGGTAGTTATTCACTTATATATAATTTATACACTAACATTTTATACAACACATGTCGTACTTAGCAAATTTTTAGCTATTTTACTGGATGCCTCAAAAACTTACGCTTTTACGCTTCGATTCTACGCTTTACGATTTTACCACTTTTCCGCTTCTAGGTAAAATCGCGCTTTTGACTGCATTGACCGTTACCTCACTCAGCGTTAGTAACTTCAGAATTTGCCCTGGACGCCTTGATGTACATGGGCAACAACTCCTTTTCACGATCTTAGCAGACCGTGAACTTCCAAGAGAACTCCTAGTTTTCGCTCCTTTTCGTCCAACTTCCGACTCTGGGGCTGGTTTCGCCTGTTAAATCCTAAAACATGATAAAACATAAGAAACCTCTCATAAAACCACCCTTTTAGGAGCACAATTGCCACAAACGCCTAAGTAAAACGAGGGTAAAATATGTACAATTAGGCCCGAATCACTCCCCCACACTTAGATGTTTGCTTGTCCCCATGCAAACTATTTCACACAAGGTAATATTTCAACCTACAAAAATACTTTGGGGAGAACTCAAAGGGAACAAAGTGGGAATTCTCAATGGCTATTGACAATTAATACATGGATCGTTGCAAGCAATACCGACATCCACCACAAACGACATTCAAGGCCACCAAAAGTGGGCAAACGAAAAGTTCTCACCTTGTTCATGGATCAATGCAAGTCTTAACAAGACCACTTATCAACTACAACTAACCATGCATAGAATTCAAGTCCGAGGAACAAATGGAAAGGTCCTCATCGGGATATGATATGGCATGCAAAATAAGAATGAATCACTCACTCTCAAGACCAGTGGGGTCAGGACCTTTTTGGTGCAAAAGATGTGCACAATCATCAACACTCGGCCCTTCGTCTCAATACCACGGAGGTAACCTCTAAATGCTAGAGTTCACGGGATGGTTGTCACCACTAGCTTGTCCGGAGGTTTTAGACACGGGTTCAAATGACTGACAATTGTCTTGGACATGGGGAAAAGGCTTTTTGGGTGGCGGCAAACACGACATGAGGTTCTACATCTTCAACCTAAACCCGAAGGTTCTATGGTTTCAACTAAGACCCGTCTCTTCAACCAAAGGCCACTAGCATCGGCCAAAAACCTTATCTCTCCCTTCGAAACTATCACCCATCGTGAACCACATTTAAGCGCTCTTCCTCGGTCTACTCTTGCTATCACATTATGGTTTGGTAGTGAAGGAGTTCTAAAACAATGTGGGGGTTTCAGTGGCTTGAGTGTCAAGAAACCCCTCATAGAGCATACACTTTGGTTTTTCGTGGCACTCTCTACTATATTTACCTCGTTTTATTACCTCTTTTCGTTTCTCTTTTCTTTCTTTTTCTTTTATTTTCTTTTTGAGGGAGGGGGGTACTAGAGAGTAGAACCTTTGCCACCTATATATTTAACGACCAATGCTCTCTTTTCAAGAACTCACTCCAACACTACACTTAATTTTTCCTTCCTAGCAAGAACTGCATACAAACCTACTATGTAGAACCTCTATGGAAACTCAAAAGTGAAAGCTCCGGGACATAAGGACGACCATGTTTAGACACGAAGAAAGGATTGGGGGTCGTTCTATCAACACCATTAAGCTCACAAGCACGAAGCTCCTACTTTAAGAACGACCCTCGAAGTCACAAGGCTCAAAGGGGTTGACTAGTGGATAACACATTTCGGGACAATCAACATTTGTGCGTGGACTAATCCTATGCCTCCATCATACTCACTAGTGACAACTGTGATGTTACTCACCATGGTAAGAGGGATCTGAGCACACAAGAATAAAACGATCGGCTCAAAGCTCACATGGCTACCTAGTCACCCAACCATCTATTCCAATTCACAAAACATAATGCATGGCAATTGTAATCACAAGTAATCGAGTCAAGACATCCATTCATTTAAGCACACATGAGAACTAAACATTTGCACTATCCGAATGGACCTCTCAGTCATCATCATAGGATATACTCGATCACATGCAACAATTCAAGGTCAATGCCAATAAACACGAGATTTTCCCACACACCGACCATTTTGATCATGCAAACATTGCTTGGAGCCCTCAAAATTTTCAAATTTGGGCATACATCAAGACTCCAAGCATCAATCACACTCACACAAGCATAATAGTAAACTACCCCCCCCCCCCCCCCCCACACACACACACGCACACTTAAGCTCGACATTGCCCTCAATGGCGTAAGATAGGGGTAGAATGATGTTACCGCTTGGGCTTGGTGAGTGAAAGTTGGAATCAATTCCAGGGCAGGATATTTGGAGATTCAAGGGGAGACAAAAAAAAAACACACACACACAAACACAATACGACTCGCTCGAGGCGAGGTTATTACATACACAATACGATAGTAGTATTAGTTTATGGTCACACACACACAAATGAAAGAAAAATAACAAAAACAAGTTCAGAGTTACAAGTGGAGAAGTGGGGCGAAAGAAATCGAATCTGCCACATATCTCACTCGTCGTCTACCTCTCGCGGGTGGAAGGACCCTCTCCCTCATCTAGAAGGAGGCATTGACGTCGAGCCATCAGCTGGAGGAGATCGATCTGCCGGTCGACGCGTGAAGTCACTCCCACGAAGCTCGTCTCTAGGAGATCCACCCTCTGGGCGAGGAGATCACCTTCTTCTGCTGGTGCTGGTGGTGGTGGCTGGGAGATGGAGTGCGGGAAGCCGGCGGCGGCTGGGTGCTCGAGCAGGTGGCTACTCCGCTGGTGGGACCTCTGGATCAGGCTCCACTAGAGCCGGGTCAACTACTGCTCTGATGACTCCTGATGGTCGGAGTCCCTCGAGGTACTCCACTCCTCGCTCTCCCTAGAGTACCAACTTCTGGTTGTAAAGGGTCCCCACTGGGAAGGGTTCCGTCCTCCCGACGTTGGTGCACCGAGCCAGATCCACGTGGAAGTGTCGGACCATCCGCGTGATGAGGCCCCCCATGTGCATGGTATCCACTCTGTTCTGTGCCAGACACCGAGCGAAAGAAGTGGTGATCAGAGATCCTAGATGGACCAGCTCCGATGGACTCCTCATGAAGTAGAGGGCAATTAACCCTATGTTCGTCATCAGATGGCCTGACTGCAGGTTGGGGACGACCGAGCGGGTGAGCAAAGTGTGAAGGATCCTCCAAGGAGTCCTCAGCTTCACCACATTGGTGCGGCTCCCCACAAACTCGTCTTGCTTGTGCTCGGGGCGACAGAGGGCTCGGAATGCTCCCTGATAGTTGAAATTCACTGTGTACTGCCGCTCCGTCATCGTCATGTGGGTGGCATCGATCCCCATGGCCCGAGCAAAGGTGTCGTAGGTCAGCACTCATGGCTGACCTCCCAACATGAACTCCACGTGTGGGCAGCTCTTCTTGCTGGCCGGGACGACGTGGGAGAAGGTGGAGTAGAACTCGACGCATATCTCATGGTAGATCTGCTCGCCGGAAATGGGTTTTGCTCGCCGGAAATGGGTGAAAAAAGTGAAAAACCGTCGGAATTTCGCGGTTTTCCAGCGAGAATTCGAATTTTCCGACGAGTTTTGGGTCGTGAAGTGAAGAGTCGTCGTTCACGCCCCTTTTATAGGCGAAGCACGGAATTCACAGATGCGTTGGCCCCAAATCGGTAATTTTTGTAAGTGATGTGTATTCAAGATCCTTTCACAAATATTGTACTTTTAAGGTGTTATGGGGCAATCCAAGTACCACATCGTTAATACAAGGGAAGATACCCTTGTATATAAGAGTCCACCTAACCCAATTAGTACGAGGCCTTTTGGAGAGGACATCCAAAAGTAAATCCGTGCGGGCTTGGCCCAAAGCGGACAATATCGTACTGATTGAGTGACCCGGTTTCGACAAGTGGTATCAGATCCTGGTTCTGCAGATCCGGGGCGGTGGACGTCGGTTTGGTGGGACCCTCATCCGATGACCTTGGGATTTGCGATCTACGTTTGGTTTGGTGGATCAACGAGAGATCCACGTTTGGGCTACATCTGGTTTGGGGGATCGAGGGAGGTCCACATTTATCTGGTGGAGAGATCCACGTCTGTTTGGCGGATCAAAGAGAGTTTCGCGCCTGGGAAAATCCTTGTACCGAGAAGCCCATCGATACAAGGTGTTTTGCGGATCAAGATAATCGCTGATGAGAGGACACGAAGTTCGTGGTCCTTGTCTTGAGGGGAGGATTGTTATGGGGCAATCCAAGTACCACATCGGTAATACAAGGAAAGGGACCCTTGTATATAAGAGTCCACCTAGCCCAATTAGTACGAGATCTTTTGGGGAGGACACCCAAAAGTAAATCCGTGCGGGTTTGGCCCAAAGCGGACAATATCGTACTAATTGAGCGGCCCAGTTTCGACATAAGGAATGAGAATGAGGCAGAGAGTCGATGCTTAAAGTGTTATAAAATTTGAAAGGAAAGGGTGCATGTAGGAAAATTGTCAATATTAGGTTATGGTGATTTAAGGTTTAACTGATAACTACTACAGGGTCTTGTTTGACGGAAATTGTTATACATATGTAGGAAAATAGTCAATCGAACTTGGAAAGGATTCTATCTTTGGGTGAGACGGGTACTTGCACTAGTCGTTTCTTGACTTGATGATGGCTTGCTAAGTCGTGACATATTAATTTATTTAGCGACCCGTCGTTAACAAAAATCTCAATATATTGTTAAGAATCGTTATGCCTTAAAGCTTTAATCAGCTTAACCCTAATAAACTTACTTGCAATCGCAGCTCGACCTTCCAATTTGTGTGCAATGATGGGAGAGGTTGCTTAACAATGAAAATGTTATGGTACAATCCACTATCACGTCGTAAATACACGAGTATGTAATCCTATATATTAGTGTCCATCTAGCGCTATTAGTATGAGGTCTTAAGGAGAGGATACCCAAAAGTAAATTCGTGTGAACTTGGTCCATAGCAGACAATATCGTAGCAATG